CCACGCTGGCCGCCTCGCCACCCCCCCCCCCCCCCGCCAGCACCGAGCCCAGCTTATAGGCCACTACCTGGATGGCGTTGCCGTGGCCCACTTCGTCCCGCGCCAGGAGCTGCACGGCCACGCCGTCCACCGCCACGTCCTGCAGCGAGGCCAGGAGGTTCATGACCCCCAGCGCCAGCGCCAGGGGCAGGAAGTCGGTCTCCGGCGACAGGGCGGCGCAGGCGAGGCAGGCCAGCGCCAACCCGGCCATGCTGAGCGCCAGCCAGGCCCGCAGGGCGCCGCACCGGTCCACGCAGGGCGCCCACAGCACCTTGAGCACCCAGGGCAGGTAGAGCGCCTTGGCCAGGCTGACGCGGGTGAGGGACAGGCCGGCGCTGCGCAGGTAGACGGGCAGCAGGCCGGACTGCAGCCCGTAGGGCAGCCCCTGCACGAAGTACAGCGTCCCCAGCAGCGCGTACTTGGCCTTCATCCTTCTCGCCCGCCGGGGGCGCGGGCCTGCGGGGAGAGGCAGAGCCGGGGGCTCAGGCGCGGCCGCGAAGGCCCGGCCCGGCCCCGGGGTCGTGCGTGTCACGGGACACACGAGCGCGTGTCACGGGACACACATGTGCGTGCACCCATGAGATGTGCGCACCCGCGCCACGGGACACCTGGGCACCGAGACATGTGCACCCACACGGGACACGCGTGCACCCACACTATGGGATACATGGGCACCCACGAGATGTGCGCATCCACGCTACGGGACACGTGCACCCATGAGGCCTGTGCAACTATGCCACAGGACACGGGACATGTGTGCACCCACACTATGGGACACACGGGCACCCACGAGATGTGCGCACCCACGCTACGGGACACGTGCACCCATGAGGCCTGTGCAACTATGCCACAGGACACGGGACATGTGTGCACCCACACTATGGGACACACGGGCACCCACGAGATGTGCGCACCCACGCTACGGGACACGTGCACCCATGAGGCCTGTGCAACCATGCCACAGGACACGTGTGCACCCGTGAGATGTGCACAGCTATGCCTTGGGACACGTGTGCACCCACGAGATGTGTGCACCCATGCTGTGAGACACCTGGGCACCGACAAGGTGCGTGCAACCATGCCACAGGACGTGTGTGCACCCATGAGATGTGCGCACCCACGCCATGGGACATGGGTGCAACCACACTATGGGACACACGCACCCACAAGGCGTGTGCAACCATGCCACGGGACACACGTGCACCCACGAGATGTGTGCACCTGCCATGGGAGACGTGTGCACCCACACTATGGGACATGTGCACCCATGCCACGGGACACGTGGGCACCCACCCACGGTAACAGGCAACCTGTAGCCACGCGACGTGGCTAGGATACAGGCAGCCCCAACACTGCCGTGTCAACCGTTGCCAGGGTGCCCACCCCTCCTGCTGCCATGGCAACTGAGATACCGTGGTGACCCCCCCGTGGTCTAGGCACCCCGCCTCCCCACGGCCACTAGGCGCCACGGCAACAGTCACCCTAGCAACAGGCGGCCACGCAATCCTGGAGGCCCCCTGCTCCCCCAACCCCTGCACCTACAGCAGCCCTCGGTCCTCCACGGCCATCGAGAACGCGGAAGCGCCGGCTAGAGCGGGGCCGGTTCCCCCTCCGCCCG